AGATTTGAGAACCAAAACTAGTACAAAAAGATTAGTACTAGTTTCTTGTTTGTTCTTTTAGTTATTTTTTTAGTTTATTGCTATTTTCTTTCTTGTAGGTTCGTGCTTTGCTTGTATACTAAAAATGGTATCAGAAATGGAGATTTGTTCACTAAGATGCTAGGATGGTGTCAGGGATGGAGATTTGGAAACCAAAACTAGTACAAAAAGATAAGTACTAGTTTCTTGCTTGTTTTTCTTTCAGTTTTTTAGTTATTTTTTCAAGTTACTGTCCTTTTCTTTCTTGTAGATTTATGTTTTGCTAAAGTATTAGAATAGTGCTAGAAATAGAGATTCAGAAACCAAAACTAGCACAAAAAAATAAGTACTAGTTTTTTGCTTAGTTTGCTTTTAGTTTTTTGGTTATTTTTTATTTTATTGTCTTTTTCTTTTGTGTTTTGCTAGAGTATTGGAATGGTACCAAAAATGAAAATTCAGAAACCGAAACTAGTATAAAAAGATAAATACTAGTTCCTTGCTTGTTTTTTTTGGTTATTTTTTTAGTTTATTACTCTTTCTTTCATGTTTTACTGAAGTATTGAAATAGTGCTGGGAATGGAAATTTAGAAGCTAAAACTGGTACAAAAAGATAAGTACTAGTTTCTTGTTTGTTCTCTTAGTTATTTTTCCGCTTTTTTACTATTTTTTTTTTTGTAGGTTTGTACTTTGCTAATGTACTAAAAATGGCATTAGGAATAGAGATTTGTTTGCTAAGGTACTGAAATAGCGTCGGAAATAGAAATTTGAGAACCAAAACTAGTACAAAAAGGTAAGTACTAGTTTCTTGCTTGTTTTTTTTTAGTTTTTCTCGGTTTATTGCATTTTTCTTTCTTGTAGATTCGTGTTTTGCTAGAAATAGAGATTTGGAAACTAAAACTAGTACAAAAAGGTAAGTACTAGTTTCTTGCTTGTTTTGCTTTCAGTTTTTTGATTATTTTTTCAGTTTACTGCCTTTTTCTTTTGTATTTCGCTGGAGTATTAGAATGGCACTAGAAATAGAGATTCAAAAACTGAAACTAGTACAAAAAAGTAAATACTAGTTTCTTGCTTGTTTTTCTTTTAGTTTTTCAGTTATTTTTTTGGATTATTGCCCTTTCTTTTGTGTTTTGCTGGAGTATTGGAATAGTGCTAAAATAGAGATTTGAAACCAAAACTAGTACAAAAAGGTAAGTACTAGTTTCTTGTTTGTTTTTTTAGTTATTTTTTTGGTTTACTGCTATTTTCTTTCTTGTAGGTTTGTGCTTTGCTGATGTATTGAAAATAGCGTTGAGAATAAAGATTTGTTTACTGGGCGCTAGAATGGCATTAGGAACAGAGATTTGGGAACCGCAACTAGTACAAAAAGGTAAGTATAGGGTTGGGATTTCATGGCCTAGTGGTCTAGACATCTAACTCTCTATGAGCGGGTTTTGGGTTCAAGTCCTAGTAGGTATGTTTATCTATGAATATTTGGAAGTATTTGTCGTGGGAAGTCCAGGTGAATACAGGTCTGGATTAGAAATTTTTGAAAGGAGATTCATTGTGAAGTAGTTGGCACTATGTGTAATAGTGGTTGTTACAGAAGGCTCTATTACACAAAGGTTGTGTGTGTAAATCTGCAATTGGCAAAGTAGCACCAACAACCCTAAGGCAGCATTGGGAATCTTGTTTGGGAAGATAACCAGGTGGTAACTAGAATTGGAAAGTGGTAAGAAATGTGGTGAACACAAAGGGATCTGTGGTAAAGAATTGGCTTTACCAGATTTGAAACACCTCTGGTATATACAGAACTCACTGATCAATAAGAAGTTGAAACATGGAGGCATGTATGTGTTAATAGATCTAACAGGCTCTGGTCATACCTGTATGGGAGTTTTTGAACATTAAGAGGACTCGGGACCACCAATATAGATATAGCTGGTATAAATAAATGCAGCGGTAACCAGAGGCTACAACTACTGAGAATTATCATAAATAGAAACGATGATGCACCTGTTAAGAATAGAGTAGGTGGCATGGGATTCTTAGGCATACCCTAGAGGCATGCCTAGGGAGCATGCTTCTAGAGCATGCCTTTAGGTCAAAAGGCATGCCCCTATCATATGATTACAGGAAAGATTATTATAAATATGATTGGCTGATATTAGAAATAGAATTCAATATAGCAAACAGTCTTAATAATTGATTAATTTATTGTTTTTAATATAGCAATACTATTGAAAAATATAAAAAAAAATTAATATAAAAAAGTACAAATATATGTACTAAGTATAATAAATGTTTAAATCAATATACTGGTATAATAGTAATTTATCGAAAATTTTTTTTATAGCCAAAGTTTTATGTCTCTAGTATTATAATTTTTGGTAATTTATATATTAAGAGGCATGCCCCAGGGCACAATAAGAAGGGCATGCTTTTACTTGGGAGGCATACCCCTAGAGCATGCCTAAAAATTTTTCTATACCTTCTACCCTAGTTAAGAACCCTAGGCCTCATGATCCCATCCAACTATATTGAGTACTGAAAGCATTTGCAAAACATACCTGGGCAAATCTCATTATCATATTGGGAAGTACAGTCGTTTGCACATTACTGAATTCAAAACGTTAAGACCTTGGTCTCAAAGTTACAGGAAACCAGCTAGTTACGGCAGCATGCAGGCTTGAGATACTTACCCAATCAGGTAAAGGCAGCTATATAACTTGAGATACGAACTTCTGGAAGTACGCTAGTTGGGATTGGGCACACCAAACTGGGAGCAATAAGCACCCACCTGGTGTATACCAATTTGGAAGTTAAGATATTAGGTATGTGGGTAAAGTGACAGACATGTGAATACTAATTGGTGATTGGGGAGGGATGTATAAAATCCAGATTAATCACATGTGTGAGAGTGTTTATAGCTCTGGTGAGTTTTAGCCGTGGATAAATGGTCTTAGACCTAAAGTCCTAGTTCTAGTTCTAATATGTAATATATATATATTTTGGTACCACCATATATCAATTGCTTAAGTATTAATAAAAGTCTAGAGCAAAAGCTACACCCTAATATAAAAAAAAAAAAAACAAAAAAAAAAAACAAAAAGGTAAGTATTAGTTTTTTGGGATCTCTTGTAGTATAGATTATACCTTCATTTTTTTCAGTGAATATGGAGAATATAGGCATTGTAACTTAAGTCACAATGCCTTTATTTTTCACATTCACTAGAAAAAATGAAGATATAACCTATACTGCAAGAGATCCGTTTCTTGTTTGTTTTACTTTCAAGTTTTTAGCTATTTTTCATTTTACTGGTCTTTTCTTTCTTGTAGGTTTGTGTTTTGCTAAATATTAAAATGGTGCCAGGAATAGAGATTCGAGAATCTTTGTTTTTTCTTTCAAATTCATGTTTTGCTATACTAAGAATGTTTTTTTTTACAATAATTATATAGTTAGTTGCTGTAACACTCTTCTTTATAACAAATAAAAGTTTTTTAAATTGAGTTGTAATAAAAAAAATTTAAAAAATTTTACATTATTGAAATTTTGTAATTTAATTGATACAGATAGATAGGTTTGTGGGTTGATTGGTTAACAGGTTGGTGGTCTAATAAAAATCTGTACAGATTTATATATTTCTAAATATCTGTGCAGAATCTATAAAAAATTTTTTTTTAAAAATAGTTGTGAGGTTACAGATCTTTACAGATTTTTGATTATTATCAGGTTATAAAAATCTGTGCAGATCTGCAACTAAAAAATTCTCATGATATTATTCTCAGAGACTGTTTATTATGATATAAGAACAAGTTCAAATAAAAATTTAGTTTGCAAATAATTAGTAAGATTGAAGTTAGATTAAAGTTAGGGTTAGAATTAATTTAAAATTAAAATCTAAAGTAATTTTGCAAAAGGGGATTTTTTGTTAAAAATACAATAGAGATTACCTTAGTAAAATTTTAAGAATACCACAAAGTTAGTTTAAAAAACGTAAAGAGGTACACAGCTATGCAGGTGCTATTTTAAATAAACTCTATAATAATACAGTATATAGTTAACTTATTTTTGCAAAAAATACGTTTAGTTGACCGATCCCATATATGTAACACAGATCACGCGGATGTAAGATTTTGTCCCGCACTATATAAACTCGAAATAACGCGCAGGGGCGTTTTTTCAAATTTCGGCCCGAATTAAGCTTAATTTAGGCCGAAGTTCAGAATTACACCCCATGCGTTATAAAGTATGTTTTAAATATTATATAAAAAAATCGGGTCTATTTGGACTTCATGTTATGAAACCAAGGAATTAAAATTCGAGGGACTTAATACAATTAACAAAATATTTAGTTTATAAATATATATATTGCAATTTACCGACTTTTTATAACAAAATATGAAATCGAAATCTAAGTTTATTTTTTTATCCAAACTAAAATTAACCATTCCTGCATTCAAGATTATAATTTTGATTAAAATTGTTCGCTTTTACATAATTACAATTTTTTAATTTTTAATAATATTTTTTTACTGTAAAAGATTGACTATGTTTTAGATTGTTTATAGTTAATCACGAAATTAAATTATATAATTAAACTTTCTTTTTTTGTTAAATGACATAACTGGATTGTAACAATGAGAGAAATTAACGTTTTTGGTAATTAATGGGTTCTAAACCTAAAATAATCGAATTCATGCGTGACTTAATAAACAAACAAACACCATCATGAGACATATAAGGTATACGTGGATTTTTATTTCATAGATAATAGAAACGCGACTTTTTATATGGATCATATAATAAATAAAGCTTTGTTTTTTAAAATCATATAACGTTTATTGTAAAATTGTAAAATTGACAAAACAAACAAACGAAGGTATATATTTTTTAATTTAACATGAAAACTATTAAAGTTTGCTAAGTGATAACTTATTAAAGGTTATCTATTACTTATTTATTCTTCATTTATTCTTGGCTTTTTCATAAAGTATCAAAAGAAATGTCACCATCGCTTCCACCCGAAACTTTATACCAAATACTCAGGGAACTTTCATATAGTGACTTACGAAGTTGTGTACTGGTCAATCATATATGGAGTATAACTGCAATACAATTACTTTGGAAAAATCCATTTGCTTTTCGATATAATGGACAAAAGAATTATCGTCATGTTGCAGGAAAGGGTAGGCGTATTGAATGGTACGAGGACAGTAAACGATCCCTTGTTGACACATATATATGGTGTCTCAGCGATGAAGCTAAGCATTCTATTAAGAATACAGGAGTTGAAATACCTAGTCATATGACAAAAAGGCGACCAAATTTCAATTATCCGTCGATTTTAACAACACTTAACTTTATCTACCTCAGTGATGTTATTGGATTTTGGTTACCAGCCACAACGGTTTCAGATTTTTCTTATTATGTAGTTTTTAGAGAATTATGCAAAATGTTTATGACGAATTCACCAAGATTAAAGATACTCGAATTCAGTGACACAAAAGCAGCCGAACTTAAGCATAGAAAGGTTAACATATTACCACTCATATGTTATGCACCTGGAGCAAAAGATTTCTTTTCTAGAATTGTTAAAATTACATGTCACGGTAATTTATACATTATTTATAAATAAAATTATACTATCTGTTTTTTATGTACAATTATTTTTAATTCTTAAATGTATTTTTTTTTTCTACGTGTTAGCTATTCTCCAAAATGAAATTCTTTACGAATTGGCATTGGTAGCACAAAATATTGAGGAAATGAATGTTCAAGATTGCAATAAAAATAAAGATGCAATGGCACAATTTATTCAATCACAAACCAAATTACGAAAGATTGAAATTGAAATTAATGGACCACCTACATTTTATTTGGCCATTGAACAAGCACTTGAAAGTAAAGCACCTAATCTTACACACCTTTCAATCGTTCATAAAGGATACTCATATGATTCATTTAGATATTCACTTTCATGGTTAGTTAAATGTGAAAAATTGCAAGAATTAAAATTACATAGCAAAACAGGATTTTATGAAAATTCATATCTACATCAAACATCATTGAGATATTTTAGAAATTTAAAAAAATTAGAATTTGTTATTAATAATCTTAATTTAGATCATATTACGATGATTAAAAAAACCGAAAATCGATTAAGTAGACTCAAATTAATTTGGACGCGGGTTAATTCACCAGATATTCCTCAAACTACACCAATTTTATTCTCTACAATCAATCAATCGTGTATATATTTGATTGAATTAGAATTAACAGTTGCACCTATAGCATTGATATTCATAACGGAATTATTCCTCTGTTGTAAATTTCTTGAAGAAGTCAAATTACATGATGGTAGAATAAGAATATTGGGAGAAACGGAAATATTAGATATTTCAGAACATTTAATTGATTGGGGAAGTGTGATACCACGAAGTTTACGAAAATTAATATTCAGGGGTGATTGGTCATTTACTTTTAATGCATTTCGAAATTTTATGGAAGGTTGCGATATAAGATTGTTTGATAAAAAACTTTTATTCTTATTTGAAGCTCTTGATTCGTGTTTAATTTCAAGATGGTTGGGAGTTGTACTTGATTGCTATATATCGAGTGGAAAGTTGAATGAAGGCAGTGGATTTAGAGCTGTTTAGACAAAAAGCATTTCGTTTAACGTTAATAGATTTATTAGGAAAATTAATGGTGATTAACATGATTAACACCGTTATTTGCACAACAACTTAATTAAAAAATATATATATGTGTAAAATTTTTGGTTACAATAATCACAATAATAAGTATTCGATATTCATGGTATATATGAAATTAATTACGTTATTATGCTTAATTCAGTAATTATGATTTCGTTTGGAATATGCATATATCAGATATATATATATATATATATATATATTATGTACATATATTTTCTTGCAGATTAAGCGATAATGTATCGGTGATATCGATATCTGTAAGAATATTTTATAATTTTATAATAAGCAAATATGGAGAACAATTTTTTAATTTAATCGTAGATAAATTACACAAAGGTTTAATAATTATTTCAAAAATTATACATCTTCCCAAATCCAGAAAAAACCAGCATTATCAATATTTACACCTTTTATCCAACATCTTCCAATAATTCCAAAAGCAGTCATAAAACCACAAAAATTCCAAACTTTATTAGCAACAAAATTTACCCTTCTACCTTTATCGATTGGAATAGATTCACCTTCAATTAAAAATTCTTTACCATTATCATCAATTAATAAACCATCAAAAATGTAACTCTTTGCATTATCAACATAATTCGTATCAACTTTTTCAACAAGATATTCAAAACCTTCTTCATTATGTTCAGCAACTACTTCAAGTTCCATAAAATTAAATTCACAGAGTAATAATTTTTCAACTGATGAAATTTCATTATCTGTAATTAAACCAGTCCAATATCTCTGAGGGTTTTTAGGCCAATCATAACCATCATTTCGGAGGCACCATAAAATTTTATTTGAAGAGTATACCTGATGAAAATAAAATAAAAATAAAATAATTTAAATAAAATAATTTAATTTATATTTACAATAATAAAATAATAAATAAAAATATATATAATAATTGAAAAAGAAACTTACATCAACCATATGAGTCCATTGTAACCATTTATCACATTTTCTTGAATCAAAAATATTTGATTCAGGAATAGTAGGTTTTCTTTCTTCATTAGCAAAGTATAAAAGATAAATATGCAAGGCATGACAATCAAGCATAGGAAATACAGCATTATTATTAGGATCCCAACGAATTACACGTCCTCGTAATTTGGCAGCTATACGTTCTACAATATTATCAAATGGACCCAGTCCTAAGTTGGGTAAAATTAGAAATAATAAAGAGATATATAAACATTAGAATAATAATAACAAAAAATAATAGAATAATAAGAATAATAAGAATAATAAGAATAATAAGAATAGTAGAAATAACAAGATATAGTATAAATAACAAGATATAGTATAAATAACAAGATATAGTATAAATAATAAAATAGCAACAATAATAAAAAAAATTAAAAATATAAAATTTCGAAATAAAAAATAAAAAAATTTACCAAAAACTAATAACATTGATATGATTTTGATAGATATAAATATACAAGCAAGATGTTTCAATGAAGAGTCCATGTCAGCATATAATTGATGAAAGACTTGAGAACAGAATTCAGGAGCACGCATCTCAACGAGTTTTTTTGAATTTCTTCCATCTAAATGAAATATTAAAAAAGTATTTTTTTTTTTACAGTATTATATAGATTATAAATATATTATCTACAATACAGTATATACTGTATATATTAATAACAAATAACAAACCATTTTCAGAAATAAGAACCCATAAACAAGTCAAAGCATTCAAGATACTATTTAAAGTCGATTCGTTTTGAGGTAAATCATTGATAGAACAACTTTCTAAAGTACGAAGACTAGAATCCATCATATCAACATTTAATTGAGAACGTTGAAAGAAAATTTTTCTAAAATTATACGTGACAAAACGACGTTTTCTCGCAGAAACATCATATTCAGACAGAAAAACTTGTTCCCATACGATACGATCATGTGATAACTTATAAAAAATCTTGCATACTAAAGGTAAAGATGTTACAGCAGTCTTTGGAGGATTAGGAGATTCAGATAAAATAAGTTCATAAAAGATTCTCAAAAGTATTTCAGTTGGTAATGAACATAAATTTAGATCAATAGGAGGATTAACAGTAACATTTTGAGAATCTAAATAGATATAATCAACGGTATTTTTAGGCCAAGAAATTTCCGAGTTATTGTCAAAAATAACATTTTGACAAGAGTAAGAGGCTAACCAAAATAAAAAATGAAGGAATTGCAATGAGAGACAGACCAAGATGATCAATAAACAAAATGGATGATATATTCAAATTACATACCTTGATTTAAAAATCCCATTAACGAAAAATTTAAAATTGATTTATCAAAAAAAAAAAAAAAAACACCACAGCTAACAATGATATTTATTTAGATATTTACAAAAACATTATTATTTATTCTATGTACATTAGAAAAAAAGGAAACGAAACAACTTACACTTTCGAAGTGTATTAGAATTGTAAGAGTTGTACAAAGAGATTAATTAATATAGAAGCATTTTATATGTGTGATCCGCAAGAACGAGAGGGAATTTGTCTTATGATCAACATGTACAACGGTACATTTAACTTTGTTTGGCACTTCCCTTGTGATATTTAGGAGACCAGTACGTGTACATGTCAGATGTCGATATCTGATATGTACATTTCAAAATAATTTAATATTACACACCAATTCTCGTACTTTTTTTTATTGGATAGGTATTTCCTATCGTGCATCACTAAGCTCAACACCTACCAGATTTTTGAACCTAAAATTAGATCGATCGAAGGACCCTGCCATATTCTATGCAATCATGTAATCATGTAATCGAATATGTATATGTCAGCATATAATAATATTTTTATCGAACGTTATTATTAGAACAAAGAATGACATAAACTCAATTTCATATGATATTATGATATTCGAGATGTTAATTAAATGAATGATCTTGAAATTTTATTGATCGTTAAAGACCACCTAAGTGTTTTATTACTTATGTATATATTATTTCAAGAACCGACTAAATAATTAATCAGTTAAAATAACTATGTTCTAAAAAATTCTTTTCAAATCTTAAATCTAAAACTAAAAATTTACGTATATACAAAAAACTTATATACAAATCTAAAAATATAATATTACAGTATATAAATATAATAGATTTATAATAAGTGTTATTTTTATTTTTATTGCATAATAACAAAAATTTTTGCAAGTCTTTTCTTATCAGCAAAAAATCTTACATGGTAATCTTATGATCGTTCACCAAATTAAGATATAAAATTCTTATAATTTGGAGAGGTCTTTTTTTTTTGAGTTTCACACACACACACCATTATAATTACAAGATAATTAAAAGAAATATTAGATGGTTGTATTAATTATTATATAGATTATTATGAATAGATGCCGGTATGAATGTAGGAATGGGTGGTAATTTTCAAATCGAGATTTCATAGTCTGTGCCGTGTTCCAAGATGATTACCACAATTTGGGCAACTGTGTGTTACATCTAAATAAAGTAAACAAGGATTATTATTGATTAAAAATCGAAAGAAAAGAAAAAAAAAAGAATAATTTGTGATTACAGGATTACAGGATTAGAGGTGATACAAACCTTTACATGAATCTACAACGAAGGGGACCCAGAACAACACTACTGTCAAACTGAATAATCCCATGGCTAATATGTATACAAATTTTCCATTTTTATGATGAATTTGAGTAGTAACGAGTTTGCTGCAACTAGTACATTGAGTTTTCACAGGAAAATCAGGATATTTCAGAAAAGACGAATCAATACTACGTTTCTTTCTGCTTTGTAGTTTTGAAGTGTCATATCCAGTATGCGTTTTTGTAAAAAGGTTGTTTTCTTCGCTGCTTGATGCACTTAGTAGAGAAGAATCACTCATACTAAGTGAAGTATCGATTTTGATTAGATTAAAAGGTGATGTCATTTTATGCTATCGTAAGAAAATGTGGGTTTAAAAAAATGATTGATGATAGGTTTAAGTTTAACCTCTTTTTTATAATTTTAATTTTTTTTGAATTTTTTTATTTTCGAAAAGATTGATTATAAAATCGATAAAGAGAAGCTGGACATATTTATAGAAAAAAAAAATACAGCGGCTTACACCGTCCGCACCACAGTTACAATTTTTTTTTTGTTTCATAAATAAAGAACTTTGTAGTAATTTAAAAGTGAACATGGCAATACGTAGAACAATTCTGCTCCGAAAATCAACAAACCAAAATTTTGTCACACAGAAAATCAGTGTACTTTTTCATTTGTTCCATTATTTTCATGGAACCAATTGTAACCAATTTTTTTTTTATTACATATTAAAAATATATATACGTACATACATGTACGTATGCATTGTAATAATTTATATCCTTTATTGTTTAGCCATCGATAAAAATTTATTGTTGTTCAGCCATCAATAGAATTTTGATAATTTTGATACGTAGCATTTAGACTCCGAAGGCTTGTAGATTGTGGCTGGATTATATTTTTGGATTATAAATCTAAAATGTGTGTATGTACAGTATGTACGTACTTACGCGCGCACGTAAGTATGTACATTACATACCCATTACGTTCTTGCCTGATCCCCGAAATTCTAGAAACAGTGAAAATAAAACCATAAATATATAAAATTATATATATATATAGATATACAAAAATGAATTTTTTTTTTGCAGATAAAGTATCTTGTAGATATTACGAGAAAAAGAAAGTAGAATGCATGATCTAAATACCAGTTTAATTAAACCAATTCTACGTATCAAATTCTAAAGCTCATGACCTACCTGACACCAATGAAACTATTCTAATTTAACTAATTTAGGGAGTCGGCTGTGATTTGCTGATCACAAATGTAACAACTTCTAGTGTGATGCAATAAGTCTTTTTTAATAATAAATTTGATACATGTATTGTTGTGGAATCGGAGACGCGTACGTTGGTTTTTTTTAGAGACAATCACATGTTACTCCATTATTCAGATCTTTAAATCTTTAGAATTGGATGTTTAAATACTGGATGCATTTTACCTGATACGGAACTGGTCTTTAAAGATCGGCGATTAAAAATGGTAACCGTTTTCTAATAATTGTTGTGGCTTATACGATTTTCTAGAATACATACGTACAGTACGTATGTACAGTACGTACGTACGTACATAACGTATAAGTCGATTTATATTATCACTGCGGCTAAGAATAACGATAATTTAGTAATTCTTGAATTCAGAACCCCTTAAATCTCCCTTAAAATAGTTGTGTATTTACCAGCCCAAATTGATTCAGATGCCCGTTATCAATTTCTATCAATTGTTTTTTATAAATTAATTATCATTAAAGGATCTTCTAAATTATATCGCAAAAAAAAAATAAAATAAATCTTTCGTAATACGTATTTCCTGTTTACTACGTAATATTACTAATTTTGTACGTATCAAGCAGTGTTATATCACGTTGAATACGTAGTACAAGAATTAATTAATTGATACGTATAACGATAAATACCATAATTACTTAACTAGGAAATTTAACCAATAACATGTAACATAACTCGCGTGTGGAAAAAAAATTTTTTTGTATAACTGTTCACTTTGATAATATACATCATAATCTGTATTGTTTACAGTTTGGTTAATCATTCTTTTTATTTATTGTTGCAAAATACAATAGATTAGAAATCTGTAACAGTTATACAAAACTGACACTTGATAAATATTTAAAAAGGGAATATAAAAATCATTAATAAATCGATTTCTTACAAAAATGCGTTAATTGTATAATTATATAAAGCATTATAGCTAGAATAAATTTTTTGATTTTCTAATTTTATAAAAAAAAAAAAAATTAATAATTTGAATTAAAAAATTACTAAAATTCTTCATTAAACTCTTCACTGGAATAATTATTAAATTATTTATCGTGCAGATACTTATTTTTTGTATTCATGTTTATCTTGGTCTAGACACATTTCAGCCAATGACGACCCGTGAAGCATTTCGATATTACAATATTGAAACAGTTATATTATGATAATTATCATAATTATTATATATTACAATAGCCGTACGTATAACCGTATATAATTTGGAATCAAACTCAAACAAATTAACTGATGCTATAATTTAATAGGATGTATAATTTTAAAATTTTTTTTTATAATCATCGTTATTGATCCCTGATATAGGATATAGTGTGTTCTCAAGCATCTTACTCAATAGACAAAGACAAAATTTTAATTGTCAGAGATCGAATAAACCAACTTATTATTATTATTTCGATAAGCGAAATATTTTTTTCACAAAGTTATTCTGATTGGCCAAAATTTAAAGTTCGCATTTGCTTGGATTAATTGCAATATCCATTTTAATATTTCAATAACCACTTCTATTAAGCGTAATAATTCATAATCTGACAATATCAATCAAATATAACCATGTTCTGCAAGATGGTGTAATAAGGGATAATAATTTTATTTTAAGATTTAATTGAAATTTTACATATTTGTTTTTACGGAGTTAAGTATAAATATTGCACCCTATAATGATTGCTAGATTCGAATTACAGTATTGACAAATCGCTAAGTTTGGTTAACACTTCTGTATTGGCCCATAAAAAGTAAAAATAATATGTAGCATATCGATATTCGAAACTTTGTCATCGGAGACTAAAGTAAGTATTGAAACACGAAACTTAAATCAGGTTTTTTTTTAAAAATTTTTTTTTTTTTTGATAAAAATAGAATAGATTAATTAGCCAATATTATGTAAATTATATATACAATTTTGTTACATAGATTAGGAGTACATTTTTTATTATATATTACAGTATATAAAATTTAAATAAACAATATCTAAATAATCTACTTTATTTAGTTTTTTTTTAATATTATTATTTTTAAGAGAATTGCTAATTTTAACCGGGAGTAGAATCTAAAGTTGGTTTTCGCAGAATCCCGACACACAAAACCCCGATGCACAAAATCCCGAAATCAAAATCCCGAAATCACTAAAATCCCGGCACTCCGGGATTTTGCGCGTCGGATTTTGTGTATCGGGATTTTGTAAAACCTGTTTTCGGTTTATCCTAAAATAGAAGTTGTCTAAAGCGGGGCAAATCATGTGATCCCGGATCAGTCCGACGAAGTAAACCAAGAAAAAAATTTGAAAAAACAGCTGTCTAAACCTGCCTTGGTGCATTAATAAAAAATGTTGGGAGGGCGATTTTGATTATATGAACGCACCTAACCCAACCCTAACCCATAGACTAAAGTGACCTTAACCCTAAAGTTAATCGAGCAAATTATTTAAGTAATATGAATTGCCCCCGCTTTAGACATCACCCTAAAATAAATTCCTAAGTGACATAAGTCATGGGTGATGATGGAATAATTATGGTTGGTCATTAATATAAAGAAGAAATCGGCGTTAAAAATGTATTCGAATATTAGATAGTAAACTTTAAAAGATAACACGATAATTGATAATCATCTAACTATAATTTGATTTTCGTTTATCCCACTAATATCGATACAAAAAATTAATAATAAGTTTTTTTGCACCTATTAAATTATAAAGTGATGGTATTGTATTTGATATTAAAATTAGTAAATCAATATACGTAGTTATATTTTCAGATCTTATTCAAGAATCAGTTAGGATAGTGAATAATACCCGAATATTAATCATGAGATATTATTTTGGGAATACTGTAAGCACCAACGACAACCGAAGAATCATCCCACTTCCCCATGATCTACTGTACCATGGTCTTTCGGATAATTATTACATTTCAATCCCTAAATCGAGTTCATTCTACATAATTATCATGAAAAAAATAATTACTGATCGCCTATGACAGTGATTATTTCAATTTAGGGTTTGAAATGATCGATATTTTGTAATACATCAAAGCAAGATTGTTCGCTTTGCTTTGCTAATTGACTGGCAAAAATTTTAAAATTGAAGAAATAAATACTATATCGAAATTACCGTAAATGTGCGTATACAAGACCCGGGCCTATTTCATTCCACCAATTTTTAAACTCTTTAGTAAATCCTGGGTCTAGAACACGTTGAGGGGTTATTTCGTAAAAGGAGAAAATTTAAAACGTACACAATTTGTATTTACAAGGTAGTTTAGCTATTTGGAAAAAAACTGCATTTAATTAAGGTTCCGTGGTTCGCAGCCGGATCTACTATTTTAGGGGATCTTGTATACGGTATATTTTATTGTAAGGTTAATATTGCTCACTTTAATTGCGGCTTACGTAATGCTCAATGACGTTGACGATCTACTGGAATATTTCAAATATATATATATATATATACTAAGTAATCAAAGTTTGTACGTATAAGGTATATTATATTATAATAAAAAAACTTCCTATACGTATAGTACGGATTTTTTATGTATTATTTGACTCGTGAAGATCTTCAACCGAAACTTAAAAAGATTCAGCATTAAAACTATCACAAAAACCTACAAATAAACTTTACACATAATATGATAAGAACCTTTTTTACACAATCAATTACGATTTTAAATTTTTGGTTATCAAACCAATTCATAACAAACACATGACAAAGCATCTAACGATAACAAAAGACAGGTTTAAATAAGTTTCAGCATTAAAACTATCACAAAAACTTATAATAAACCTTTATATATAATATAAAGGAAGCCTTCTTTACACAATTACGGTTTCAAAATTTTGATTATTAAGCCTTCATAACGAAAGCAAAAAGAGAAAAATTCTACTAATATAATAGTTAGAAATGTTTGAGTAATTAAAATTTTTAAACTGTAACTCGGTTTAGCTACACCACGGCAATTTTTATTACAAAGATTGCCAGAAAAAAATTGATAGTACGTTCGTTGAATCAATTTTTTGATCACTTTCTTTGATAACTAGTAAAAACGTATTGATTTTGCTGATCGATTTTATGCATAAAATCTAATACGTAGTAAAGGCACCTTACATAATTTTGACTAATTAGGAGGGTAGTGGTTTTGGTAGTATCACGTGAATTTGCACTGTCCTTACGAACTGGATTAGCGACATATTATGCAACATGTGAGATGTGACTATAATCACCTGACTTGTCATACTTTTTTGCTAATAACTCAAAATTCGCAATTACCAGCGCATAATCCTAGACGTAGATTCAGCGGTTAAAACCATGTACCCACATGACTTTTCGAAGTTTTAATTAAAATCAGAATTAGAGATAGTTTAGCATTAGGGTGGGGTTAGAAAAAAGGTAAATTTATATAGGTAAAATTTGTCTCCCCAACATTTTTTGCCAATGCTTCAAAATATATTTAGATAGCCATTCTTCATATTTTTGCATTCTTTATTTTTTAACTCCTTCATGAGACAAAATTTCTCGATCTCGGTTGGTTGATTTACACGGCTGCCTACATGTACATCAACCTTTTGTTTGATCGAACATCTATTTATTGGTTTCTTCATTATATTAGCTGGCCATTCTCATATAAATATCTATAAATTAATCATCATTAATTAATCAATATAAACATTTTCAAAAACTCAAACTTTATTTAATCCATATAAATAGCCAGATTCAATTTTAAACAAGATGTTCTTGAGTAAGACTCCGGGGTACTATATCTATATACAATAGGGTTAAACTCAACAACTTCTAATTCTTTTAATATATCTCCACTATTTTAATTTCGAGTAAAGGTATAACAAAAAAGATTAAATATAGTAATTTATATAATAGCCAATAAAAAAAAGTATAATAAAGTATATTAATTAGCATGTAATTATATCAAGATAACTATTTGATAGTATATCTTTCGGCTCATGAATTTTTTTTTCTTTAAACCAGAGCCCTACCAAACCCAATTGTTTCTTTAGTTTCAATCTACATCCTTTGATCTCATGCTCGAAGAACCAACATAAAAATGCATAATTAAACCAAAAACACTAACAAACCCCACAAATGCTAATAATCTACAATAAAATGAAATAAAATTTTTATTAATACATGCAAATGCGATTTCTTGGTTATTATTATAATTTAAATAACTAAAGAATCTTTTAACTCGAGTATATGGTATAAATCCTATAAATAATAATGGTAAAGAACACGTTAATCGAAAGTTTTACGTTATTTAATTCACATGCAAATATCATTATCATGCGTATTTCGCTTTAAAGAAAGTTGTATACGTTATATTTTGGGAGGAACTTCCAATAAAGTTAAAAATGATCCATTAATTTCATGTCTTTGATTTTTGCTAAATCTAATTAAATATTCCTGTTAATTTTTTAAATTAACACATTAGAATTTTCGGATTGCAAAGAGTATTTTAAATTTTAGATCCATCACAATTTAAAATCATGACAAAATAAACTATCAAAAGTCTTACGTCATCTTTATACTAAAATTTTTTATATTAGGCTATATACAAAGGGATTATCGGGTAAAAGACATGTTAATTATTTAAAAAAAATTTCAATTAAATCGATTCAGGAGGGTGTAAAAAAAAAACACAACCTATGATGCTTCTCTAGGACATAAATCCCATTCTTGATTATTTTCCATCAAACCAAGTTGAATTGCTGCCATTTTAAAAGTAGGATATTCGATATTATCAACAGTTCTTAAATACTCAAAGATGTTGGGCCTTTGATATCGCCGTTTTCGCCGACCTTGCCTTTTTGTTATTCATTATTTCGATAAATTAACTGTTCTTCAGTTGTCATCAAAGCTAATCTTCTTCTAGCATCATTTCCAGCAATCTTCTGTTCAGACGTATAAGTCCTTTTGTGTTTTTGCATTTTCATTTATCGAACCTTAATCAGCTTAGTAATAATAAGCTTAATAATCAATTGCTTTTATTTTCAATTTAATGATCGAATTGCTGATTAAAGGTTCTACAGGGGATTGCTGAGAATTTATTACAATTACAGGGGCGGGAGCCGGACATCAATAAAATTCATATGAGTAAGCCTATAAGGTCTTCCACTTCGTTCCTCAGCTCCAGCCCAAAAAATTTATATGAGTAAGGCTATAAGGTCTTCCACTTCGTTCCTCAGCTCCAGCCCAATAATTAAATACGTATAAAAACTTTATCCATTACCACAATAAATGCACACTACTTTCTAATATTATTTCAAGAAGATAATCTAGAATATGACCGATTTTAACTGGTTTGGTTAATACTGATCGGAGTGGTAATTTAATACGGTCAACTTTAGATATAACGACCCTTTTTTTAAAAAAAATTTGTTGCAGAGTTCGTTATAAAAAATACTAAATTACTCTACAAGGAACTTTATAAAGAGGCTTACTGTCATATATATATATATATATGTGCACATATATATTATTTTGTAAACCAAATTAATAAAATTAATAGTTGTTAAGTGAAACCTTTTTTGCATGATAAAAGGCAAAACCGGTAAAAGATGAAAGGCAAGCTCAAAATCCTCCTGAAGAAAGGCTAAACTCCGGCAAAATTAAATTTCCTAGCTAAAAATTACTATATACTGTATTTATAAAGTAAATTTAATATCCGAGACCCTTTTAAAATGATACAGTATCTGCTTTCTGGTCAAAGTGGCAAGAGGCATTATATTGTGATTAACATATGTACTAGAATAATGATTTCAATATTGCACTTTGTAACTGCTGCGTACGGCATTCACCAAAAAATTGAATGTATAACGTGAATATTGTAGAATGGAATTACACTATATAATATTGACATATAATAATTTTCGTAAAGGTCGTTCATCAAAAAGTGTACGAAAAGATTTCTGCTAGCACGTTATAATGTTCCCATTTAATCTTACCGGAGAACCGAACGATCGTAAAGGAATAAAATTGCTCTACGGTTCATTTAAGCACTTTGCCTAGGTTTACTAGTCTTTTCTTCTATGTACTATGTACTCTTCTGTTTGAAGATAAGCCAAGTATCAATAAATCGTATGAAAAAGATTACTTTGTTGCGTTACCAAGTATGACTAAAATTTTGTTTATACGTATTTTCATACTTACTGACAATGAAATTTAAAAATCAGAATATTAGTTCTCATGATGATAAATTATGGTTCTTCATAACGTGTTGATGATCCGACTGGTGAAGAGTTTACTGAGAAAGTTTTGTCGGTAATAAATATCTATATATATATTTTTTTAAATTGGATAATAAAATTAGCTATACCACTAAGAATTTGATTTCTGATAATCAAATTAGGCTGGAAATATTGTTTAGACAGGCACTTTATCAGATGCCTAAACAACTAAGACAATTATTTGCAACCATTTTAATTTATTGCAGGCCAACAAACATTTTAGAACTTTGGAATACACACAGGATAGACCAGACCCCACTAAACAATGGCATGAATTCGAAAATCAGTTTCTTTCGCATTCTCTCCCGCTTATTATGCGTAGTATTCCATACCAAGCTAGTAATTTTGATGCAATTCAAATCATTCGAGAATTGCATCGGCATCAACATGAAATGCACTTGGAAAAAATAAATCCAGAAAGGCGTGAGCGACAGAAGAAAAGAAGAAGAACATTTACCTGCATTATCAGAAGAATTTGTTTATAATCCAAATTCTAAACGTGTAGCTTTAGACTATAATGATCCAAGAATAGTTACTCAAGTTCTTTTGGATCTTGAAAAATATTTTTTTAAGTTTAGAACCTAATACGTACATATAAAACGCCGCCGTTTTATTACTACTTTGTAAAGCATAGATCGAACTGTATTGGGTAGTAAAAATTTAGCTGATGATAATGACTTTTGATATATTTATTCATAAGTCTGTAAGTTATTTATACAATGCTATGAATCGAAGATAATTTAACTTGAAAGGTAACACAAATATTTACATAGATCAGTTTGTTAGATATATATATAAAGATTTAATAAGATTGGCCTAACTCAAATTACAAATATATATGAATAAGTAAATCTCCAAAATCGTTAACACAGAAAGTTATATTAAAAGAATTTTTAATGTTCTACGGTCACGTCCGTTTTTACACCATTATTTCCAATACTACTAATTTCATTTTCTTTTCTTTGAATGGATTCATCAAGATTTGAACTAATAAACTCTTCAGGCTCTTCGGTATATTTTATATCATTATTATCTGAGAAACTTGGAATCTCATTATCTTTAACCGGTTTTGGTGTTTCATTTGGAGGAGGAGATGGTGAAGGTTGTAGTGGCATTACAAGCCATTCTTCAATTGCTCGGAGAATATCAGTCAATTCAATATTAGATTTAGTGACATGACCTAGTCCTGTCATAACTTCCCTACTAAAAAGTTGCCATTCTTGTGAAATATTTTTGGCCAATTCAAACATTTTCACGGTTTCCTGTTAAATTATCAGGGATAAAATAAAATAAATTAATAAGTAACCAAATTTAATGATCAGATCAGATCGATAAAGTTAATAAATAATCAAATAAATAATTATATATATATATACTTGAAGGAATGTTATTGTGGCATCATAAACTTTAAGTTGTATACTCAAATCATCTTTTTGTGATAATTTTACTGACAAACGAGATTTTTTCAATTGTTTTGTTACATCCAACACACTTTTAACATGTGATCTCAATTCTTTTAATTTTACAGGTAATGTAGGTGTAGATTCATCTGCTGATAATCCAAGAGCAGTATCTAATTGTTCGATTAAATTTTTTCCAACACTTTCCACAGCTTTTATAGCAGCATCAACCTTTAAAAGCATTTGATCAAATATTGAAATCGGTAGTGCAATGTCAGTATGAGAGTTGTTTATTATACCAGCGGAATATGGACCATGATAAGATGATGGCGACATTCCAGCAGTAGATGGAGAACTAACACTTTGAGGGGAACTATTAATTACAGATCCAGCAGAATTAGGAATTCCATTAAGATTGCTACTGCTATTTGAACGTGACATGGATTTTGATCGTATAGGAGTTAAATTTCCTGTATAAGGAGTGCTATTATGCAAAAGTGGAGAAATATTTTCCCAAGCAAATTTAATGTCCACTGTAGCACCATGAAACATTAAAAGAAGAGTCCGTGAGTAACGAAAGTTTTCAGGAGGTTGAGTTAAATATTTAAGATGTTTATTCAATAAATCTAAGAGAATTTTGAAATTTGTAACATTTTCCTGACATGCACCGAGTAATTTAACCCAATGTTCAGCATCACCTGTAGATTGCAGAGCAAAAGTATCAAATTTTTGTAATGCAGCACATAATTGTCCTATTGAATGATTAGTCTTATTAAGTTCAACAGTAAATATCTTTTCATTGCCGGTAAAGATTACAAACTGACGTAAAGCTTTATGTATTTGAGACAATGCGTATAAGATATTTCGACTAGCTTCTCTCAAAGAAATATCACTCATTCGAAGATGTTCAGTTGGAGGAAGAGTTTTAAGTCTTTGAAAATAGAATTCACTGTTACGCTCTTCCAAAATTGTATGAGAAATTGTAGGAGAATTATGAGAAAAACTTTTTGAATGTGATCGAACGAAATTGTTACGAAAATTCATTAATGTAATATCCGAATCATTGCTAAAACTTCTATCACGACGTGACGGTAAATCTAAACTTAATTTAGGACTTGATCTTTTCTTTTCAAGTTTAGGGATCATTTGTTCATCCTCAGTTATTGTATTTAACAAATTTGAATTTTCAATAGTTAAGCGTGAATCTAAATTAACATCTAGATTGTTAATGCTATCAACCGAAGCGGATTTTTTCAATAGCTTATGATCTGCTGTTTCATCTTGATCAACTTCTTCTTCACCATCACTGAATAAAATATACCAAAATATTAAATATTATTAAATTATAAATACGATAGGCACCTTATTACAAACCTGGAATTATCACTTTCTTCTATTTCATGATTTCGACTAGCTGTATAAAATAAACCATATTTAATATGCTTAAAATTATTGAATTTTACTTAAACGACTTTTTAAAAAAACATACCCGAATGTTGTCTTAAATATTCTTTTAGTTTAGATAACCAAAGTACCATGACTTCTTTTTCATCACCTTTCGGCATTATATGAATAGATCTTGGTGGGAAACGAATTGGATTATTATCAATTTTTAAATATTGTAAATCTTTCATATCCGCAATATAATTAGGAATTATCTTTATTAAATTTTTAGATATTTTCAATAACTAAAAAAAAAATGGTTTTAGATCAGATTTATAATTTATGATTAAGTAATAATTTTATGATGTAAAGGATAATAGCATACAAGAATAAGCTTAAATCAGTTAACCTTCAGTGACACTAATTTTCCAAAATCATTTGGTAATTTCTTAATTCTATTCCTGCTAATATCCAATATTTCCAAACTTGGCATTGAACATAACTGAAAATTTAATATATATATATATATATGTATGTAAAGGATTAGATAACAGAAAGAAAGCATATTAAATTAAATTATAAGAAATAAATTACCGTCTCTGGAAAATCTTTGAATGCATTGCTAGAAACGTTTAAATATCTTAAATATGATAATTTACAAAATTCTATTGGGATTGTTGACAATTGATTTGATTCAAGTCCAAATCTGAACAAGAAAAAGATCAAAAATCATAAGCCATGAATATTGTAAATTTTAAGAATATTTTCATTTTTTTCAGGAAATTTTTTATAAAATACCTTTCAACTTTATAATTATCTTTAGATATCAGATTTATTAATTCCACAGGAATTTCATGAATATCCTTCGCTTTTAACTTTATTGTTCGAGGATCATCTTCAAGAGAATCCTGAACTAGTTTGATTAGCTTCGAGGTTTCATTATCTATGTTATCTAACATATTATCTGACATATTATCTGACATATTAATTCTTATTCGAGATCACAGAAAAAAAAAGCGATCTATCTCTCGTTCTTTATACGATGATCTATGATAACGACTTAAATAAGATTTTATTAGGATCAAATTTTTTAACGATGGCCAAATTCGGTAAGTATGTAAAGTATTAAAGTTTCGAAACGATAAATATATTGAAGATGTTTTTTTTTGTACAAGTGTGAAATGAGGTAAAATGAATGAATGAATAAGAGGCCAAATTATGTGAATTTTATACAAATTGGGGATACCGAAGACAAAGAACCTTTTGTTTGTTAATATAATAAATGTACAACATTAATGTGTGACACGTAATATTTTGCTATTACCTATAAATGATAATTTAGACATGGTCGTACAGCTAAATTTTGAATACAATATAAAAAGATGCTTAAACAATTGAATTTATTTTTTTTAATCTCCCTTTAAATCATTGCAATACCGCCAAATATGAGTTCTTATGCATTAATCGAGAACAGATCCAATATCAAAATCGTTTCCTCTGTATTGACGTCATTCTTGTCCAATTCATCTGGTACAATTTTATCTTTAAATGATTAAAAGAATTCAACTTTTTTTCGAATTAATTTTTTTTATATACTATAAAATTATTATTTAGAAATAGCATCCCTCGATGTTTCAAAGAAATCCGAACTTATATCTGCTCTTCTATCTGATCTTGATGAAAATGGGGTTCAATTAAAATGGAGTGATGATGGTATTAAAAATCAACAATACAAATAAGACCAGATAAAAATACCCAGTATGATATCTAAAGAATTCAAATTTTATATACAGTAAGATTACTAGCATTACAAACTTTAAAGACATTAGGTCGTAATGTGAAAGGATGTGAATTATTGTTTTCAGATAAGGTAAACCTTATTTTATAATTAAATATTTAATTAATATTTAATTAAACATCGTAATGCTTGTTTATTTATTATTAAAAAATTGCAGGGATTTTTAATATTATTATCTCACACATCACTTTTATCAAATGATATCGCCGATACTCCTGTGGCGCAAGAAGCACTTACATGCATTGCCAATGCGCTTTTGTTAGATGAAAGTACACGTGATCTGTTCGAAAAGCATAACTGCATATCAAAAGTCTGTCATGGTTTAAAGGTAACCTTCAATTCAATATATTATTATACTGTATAATTTTTCTTATATATAACTTATACATTTATTTTATTTTATGCGCATATATTTAATTAAAAAGGATGATAAAATTTCGATCAAATCACAATTTCTCTACTCGCGAATTCTTTTTCTGGTGACAATTAAAGCATCACCAACCATTAAACAACTCATTGATGACCTTGAAATAATTGATATTCTTCATAACGTAAATTTTAGAAATTCCATTCCATTTTCTTAATACAGTCGGTCCCCATTGTTGTCAACTTGTTTATATGAATACTTAACGTTGGCAATCAGACAAAATTGGATATATAAAATTTTGTTAATTTAGACAATCATCAATATCCCATTGTTAGAAATATTAATCATGAAACGTATTCTCAACCTCTCATGTATATCAATAGAATGGGCTAATATTTTGTAATGTTGTTCACAATGAGGTCTGGCTGTATTTGATAATCATGCAAGTGCATTAGCCTCTAATAACTTTATGGTTACTTTTTAAAGACCATAAACAATCTTGTGAAAGGAATTTCTTCGTCTACGATTGTTGAACCTTTACCGATCACCAGAGTTACGCTTTTGAATGAGCAATTAAAATTTTTATTTAACTTAATGCATTATTATTCAAAAATTGTACTTGAAGAAGGGCAAGGGAAAAATCAAGAACTTTCTTCAAAATTTGAAAAGTATCTTCACTCATTTCATTTCATTTCTTTCAAATTCTTTATATATCACATAAATAAATAAATAAATTATCTTAATATTATAGATTACTCCCGGTAATCATTAAAGTTATCACAGAACTACCACCACCATCACCACTTCCATTAGGTCCACCACATTCTCACGCGATTCATGCACTTTTGAACTTTCCTGTTGCCCCTTACAAATCAATCTGGTTCCCACCAGAGCAAAAAAGTCAACAATTTGCTCTGTTAGATAAATTTCTTGAAATTTTAAAAACAATGGTACTTATTGCCGTTGATGGAGATCCCGATATTATTATTGAAAATGGTCAAAATAAATACGGTGTTAATTTTGATGAAGTTGTTACACCACTTGTTGCATTGATACGAAAACTAGCAGAGGAAGATGAATTGGCAAGAACTATTGCAAGAAGTAGATTATTACCCGATGATGTGTAAGTTCAGTATAGACTATAAATGTGTGCCTAAATTTTTACTATTTCCAAATTTAGTTTTTCATAGTTACCGAAGTTATTTAAATTTTCAAACTTAAAATTATTTAGATAGCATTTTTGTGAGATTCACATTATAAGCTAAAATGTTTGTCAAAATTAATTTTTTCTCGAAAATAATTTAGGCATACATCTATAGTAGTGATACAAATCGAAATCGAAAAGTTGACAACTAATCAATTGAGCTTTTAAGATATTAATCGACTAAAGAATTAATTAATAAGTTGCAAAGAATCGATTGAAAAATTATTTATTTACTTAATAAATTAGTTGCAACTAATCGATTAATCGACTAGTTGAATCTAATCGATTAATCGAAGTTACAGCTAATCGATTAGTTGCAACCAACTAAAAAAATAATGATCAACTAATCGATTGAAAAAATTTTGACGATTTGTAGCACTAATCTATAGTATAAATTTAAGATGTTGTTTTGGAATAATCTTGATAATTTCTTTGGAAATTTTTAGTGATCGATCTAAACCGTTAGAAAAAGGTGATAATTTGTCTGCACGTTTAATTAGATTAATGACTTCGGTAATGTTACCAAATTTAAAGGATGGTGCAAGCGAATTGTTATATGTGATATGTGATCAAGATGGTAAGCCTTCATCATTAAATTATTATTATTATTATTTTCATCATTAATTTTGTTTTTTTTAAATATATCTATATATTTCTATGTAGTAAATTTATTTATTCATCATGTGGGATACGGGAACGCTGCCGGCTTTTTAATGAGTCGAAACATAATGATTCCACCACCTTCAGCATCTTCAAAACAAAAAGCTCATTCTGACAAACCAATTAATCCAATCACAGGTCAATACCTTGAAGATGAAGCACCTTCACTTTCTGATATGACAGATGAAGAAAAAGAGAGGGAGGCAGAAAGATTGTTTGTATTATTCGAGAGACTTAAAAAGACTGGTGTTATGAATGTTGTTAATCCCGTGGAGGAAGCTATAAAGTCTGGAAAAATTAATGATACAATAGATGATGAAAAAAAGGAAGAAAGCGATTAATTAAAGGATTGTTTTTTTTTTCTCTCCCTTTTTGAACTTGATCGTTTGTATTTATATATATATATATATATATATAATATTGGATATGCTTGTATTATATATTTATTTAAAATTTTGAATTAAACTCGAATTTTTATTCATAAACAAAGTATCCACGCTTGAAAAAAAACCATGTAAATACAGCTGTAATAGTGTAATTTGTTTACGATTTAAATCAACCTCTTACCCTACATAAGAAGCTATGCACTTCTTATCCGAAAGAAGCCAATGGAGAGATAAAGACCAAAAAATGTATTATTCTGCTCAGCTGACGAGCATCAAGATAACATGTATCAGACATATAACTTGTATGTGCTAAATAAAAAAAATAAAAAAAAAAGAAGCTAATTATCATTAAACAAAGTACATATCATCTAGTTTTTTCGAGACGGAGATTGTACCCGTAGAGAAATCGCTACTCGGGTAAATTATTATATATTTCTGATAAAAACTCTATCCGGGTACATGTCTATTTCTATGGAGGTTTGATTTTAATAAATTATAAGATTTAAATGGCTGAACCAATCAATGTTGATTAGAATTCCTAAATTACGGTCTGCTATTTCGAGAAATAGTATTATTTCTTTTGATTTTAATCATGAAAGAAATACACAATGTAATGAAATTGAGAAGAGTTCACCTTATTCATTCAGCGTCTATTCAAATTTTTTTATATAAATTAATTTAGAATAAGGTTAGGATCTTTTTTTTACTTAAAACACAAAGTAATTGTGTTAATAAAATTTTGCAATAGATCTTTAAAGTTTGTTTTCTTATGATCTATCATAAGATTTACAATACAAATTGATTTTCTCAAGATCTTGTTTTGTCATTTTTGATCCTTTTTCCAGATCACAGCCTATCTGATCAATAATTTGAGGTAAATTTAAGGTCCAATTCCGCAAATCCGCCTATATGCTTTAAAAAAATTATGTAGTGTTTACGAAGCTTCAAGTTTTAATAGCAACTTATTAGGGGTCTGCAAACCGGGCTCGTGCCCATGCCCAACAAAAGTTACAGGCATGGGCATGGGCATAGGCACAGGCATAAGAATTTTCCATAGGCATGGGCATGGGCACAAAAATTTGGCATGGGCATGGGCATGGGCACAAAACTTTGGCATGGGCATGGCATGAGCACAAAAATTTGGCACGGGCATGGGCACACGGGCATGGGCACCCATGCCCGGCACATTGGCACTAGGTCGGGCACTAGTGCCTTGTGCCGTGCCTGTGCCTATAGGCACTAGTGCCGGGCACTAATACTAGGCACAAAGATTAAGGGCTGATAGCTAGGGGTCTGCAAACCGGGCTCGTGCCCATGCCCAACAAAAGTTACAGGCATGGGTATCGGCACAGGCATAAGAATTTGCCATAAGCATGGGCATGGGCACAAAACTTTGGCATGGGCATGGGCACAAAACTTTGGCATGGGCATGGCATGAGCACAAAAATTTGGCACAGGCATGGGCATGGGCACCCATGCCCGGCACATTGGCACTAGGTTGGGCACTAGTGCCTTGTGCCATGCCTGTGCCTATAGGCACTAGTGCCGGGAAACCTGGGTGGATAAACGGGTCTACCGGATCGTCGGGTGACCCGACTAACCCGACTAACCCGGGCACTAATACTAGGCAGAAAGATTAAGGGCTAATAGCAGAGCACAAATCTTATTGTAAAATGCCAGAGATTTTTGTTTACATGTGACAATTTCCGCCCTGATTTTTAAAGAGTCAGAAATTTTCCGGTCTTACCACACTTTCCGAATACAAATAATGTTTTCCATTGGACGAAACCAATTACATCACTAATCAGAGTGGCTAAAAATTTTGCAATGATTACATATTGATTAAACTTTTTTTTTTATTAAATAATTCCTTTCGCTATTTAATACCAATGTTTACTCTTTTGAGTTTTTTTTTTAAAAAAAAGTCCTTTTTGCTATTTAATACTAACATTTTGCTATTTTGAGTTTTAGCACTTCAAATTTTTTTAATAAATAATTTTGTGTATACGATTAAATAAATTTTCGCTGTAAAAATGTATTATATTATGTAAAAAAATTTTTAATTAAAATGCTTTAATCATACTGCTATATGAAAATCTGAAAACAAAATAAGTATTGATTTTTATTATTTTTTTTTATAGTGTATGAAAATTTACTAATTATTTAGCAACTTAGCAGTAACATTTATTTTCAGAATTACTAATTAACAAAACTAGCATCTATTACAGTATTGTATCAAGGTTACTGTACAATTTCCGAAAGCTATTTTCCGAAAGAACATTATATTGGCTAATTATTTTTTTTGGGAAAATGGCTTTTGAGAACTTGAGTTACATTATTATTGTATTAGTATTAGAAAAATCTATTAATTAGCACTTTGTCATAGTATTTTATTTATCTGCAATAGTATCAATATCAATAAAAATGTACTTGGAACATTTAAAAGTTCATGTCAATTAATTATTTTTTAAAGTAAAAATCGCAAAAATTGTATTTTAAAATTACAAGCTTGTAAATGTAGGTCTTGGCAAATTTTATTCTCTTAAAAATAAGGTACCAAACAAAAACCTTATGAAAAATTACTTTTGTTTTAAATTTGATTTTTTTTTTTACTAGCAGAAAAAATTCTGAAAGTTCATAAATAAAATACTTTCGCTTAAAAAAATATTTTGAATATATATTTTTTTTGAAGAAAAACAATATTTTTTGATTTTGTAACGGTGCATGATCAAGTTTGTCTGAGATTTCATGCATCCAATCACAACTGTGGGGAGAAATTAGGGCTCCCAGTCCTTAATCGGGTACAATGGGTAAAATTTTATACCCAAGTATACCTGTCGATCACTTGGTTACCCCACAAGTATACTTGCCGGTTAACCGGGTAACGTTTTTTTAACTGAGTATAATCACTAGTTATGTCAAATATATTCTTCATTATTTTGAGACTGTGGAATCTAGGAATCAACATTAATCGTTGCTCAAAATTTTGAATTACTTGGCTTTCACACTGCTTAAGTAAAAGCTCTTTAGTATAGTCTAGCATATACTTGAAGAAGCCAAGATCCAAGGTATGCATTCGATCAGGGACGATTGCTTCATATATATTGAAGTTACTATAATTATATATTAATTTATTATGATATATATTAATTTATTATGATTATGTAATTATATTATATATTAATATTATAATTATATATTTAATTAATAATATTATCACAGGTTGAATCAATGAATAACAGGTACATATCGGGAGACAAAT